CCGATGTTTTTATGTTCAATAAAAAAAAAATATAATACAAGGCTGCTGATATTATATTGTTGAAATAGCAGTTGAAAAATATTAAAAATACATACTCGCAATAATTTTTTTAAGCATTTAAAGTTTAGATTTTGAAAAAATGTATCAAATTTAAAATTTAAAATAATAAGATTCCACGATTTTTAGTAGGTACGTACATTTATTAGCGTAGGTATTTAGTATTTTACTGTCCACGGTGGTTGGGTACACATTTTTTTAATGCCCTTTTCCCTACAACGGTTTTTTTAGTGGCAATTTTTCTCACCCATAATAAACTTACAATACATACGATATGATAATAGTATCATGCAGTATAAAAATCTATTTAATGGCCCAGAATGTAATATGTCGGAGGTACTCTCATTACCAACGAATAACAGAATAATCAAACAAAATTGTAAAATGTATTAATTTTTTTTATCTATTTATAACATTGTGAACATATTAAAAATTAATATTACTTGAAAAAGACATCGATAATGGCTGCATAATCAAATACAGCATTAAAATCATGGTTAAAATCAATATAAATATTTATAGAAAACGGCCAAATCGTCCAATGATAATAATGAATAGCTTATAATTTAAAAATACATCATGTATCTACAGTTATTTTTTTTTAACTACACTAAATAATCAAAATCAATTTTGTCAAAATATTGTGCTAAGAATGGCTTTGTTTATATTTAAATATTAATTGATTGTTTTGTTGACATTGATTTGTCTAACTGCTTAAATCATTGTAAATCTGATTTCAAAAAAAAAATCTCCCACAAAAATTTGGTGACCCCAAAAAAGTGATGCCCGGGGCAATTGCCCCTCATTTCACCCCCCCCCCCCCTAAATACTCCACTTCCTACATTTTTCCATAATGTTTGCATACATTTTGTGAAAATGTCACATATTTCTATGATTGTATTTTATTGTCTACCTATACAATCTTATTGCCAGAAATTAGAAAAATTTGGAAAACGTCAAACCGAAAACTGTTAAAAAGGTTTCGTTATGTTTGATATACCTTATATAGGTAGCTATTGAAGATAAAATTAAATTTAGAATTTTAATACATTAGTATCTATAATATAATATTAATATAGTAAAATTGTAATGATATTGATTGTCCATACTCCATTTGTCCATAAATATTAAATATAAGTTACCTACAGGTTACTATTCGTCAATAACGTCGCATAATACTTTATATAATATTTATAGTATTAGATTACTTATAAATTGTTAGTAATAAATAGCTAATAATAACTAATAAGTTATAATTACCCAATTAAGGTGTTACAAAGTATAAATGCGGTATTTCAGCCGGCTAGGTCGTCGACTCGTTTGTCCGAATCCGATTTTCTCGTGTCGAGTCGAAAGTTAAACTCAGCATAACTGAAAATTTTCCGGTAGATCATGGTTAGTGAATGATACCTACCGTGTTTACAACGGCCAATCAAAATACGATAAAGACACACGAGGTGATGACTGATGACCTAAAGTTATCTTTATACTTTATACGTTGAACTTATTTGTACAGATCATGAAGATCGTAGACAAATTTAATAATAATATTAATTATCATGATTATAAATTGTTGTCACGGACTATATACATTAGTATACCTTAGTCTACCTTAGTCCGTGATTGTTTTGTTCACGACAATAGGAACTACTATAATGGTAATAAAATATATTTTAAATATATCTTAAGGCGCATTCACAGCTACGTCGTGTGTCGTGTCGTGCGATGGCTTGGTTATTATATGGTTACAACTGGTAACCGATGTGGTTTAGAAGTTGAGCTGTAGTCAATTATTGGTATACTCGGTTGCCACTTGGTTATTACATGGTAATGAAAAAGTAATATCCAATCACAGTACGATTTGATCGACACGACATGACACACGACGCAGCTGTGAATCCGGCTTTACGTACGTTTAATGTTTACTAACAACGTACCATTAGGTATAACTGTGTATATTCGACAAATAAATAAACATAAAATGATACGATAAAAATATACAACATAAATATTGTCATAATTATACAAATGTTTTACTGTCCATTAGGCAGTAGGCAGCTAAGGTGTAGAAAGTAGATAATGATAGACGTGTGCATTATATTACTGCATTATATTACAGAACACCTTTCCCGGTCCCCACCAAGACCGCGGTACCAGAATAGACGTGCGAGGCGGCGAGCGGTGATACCATTCGGACAGCGCTAACGCGGTTACGGTCGCAGTGGGGTCGTCGTTCAACATATGTTTAGATAACAAAGACCAGAGATAACGGCGATGTTATTGTTGTAGTGAATGATTTTCCCAGAGCCGTGCGTACGCGTATACCGCATACGCCGTATAGTAAGTTGATGTAGTGAACTACCTAGAACGATATCAAAGCATCAATCCGTCTACATAAATTGAATGAATAAAATTCATAATATCTCGTGATTTTTCGCCAGCATCACCGTCGAATCGAAATTTTCCCACCTCCGAAAACACAGTTGTCGAGACGACGTTCGCGTGCAGGGAAATCGGTGGACCCGTCGTCGGCCAGTTAGCCATTGTCTCCGTGAGGTTATGCGACAGACGACCGACGCGAAATCCGTTTTAACTGCTAAATAATCGAACGTGACCGCCGCCATGTCCAAGACGTCCGGTTCGGCCGCGTCCGGCTCGTCGTCGTCGTCGTCGTCGCAGCAGCAAGTGTCCGGAGTCGCCGCTGTGCCAGCCGAGGACAATTTCGACTTTCTATTCAAAATAGTGCTTATCGGTGACTGTGGCACAGGCAAGACGTGCGTTGTTCAGCGGTTCAAGAGTGGCACATATGCCGAGAACCAGGGCAACACCATCGGCGTCGACTTTTCTATGAAGACCATCAAGATTGATGGCAAGAAAGTCAAAGTAATTAATTTGCCTCTCCGTCTGTGACGCCTTGCAACCGTGTGCATAGGTGTCTGCAATATCGACAACGCCTTAAGACGTACTTACAGTAGTTTTGTGTTACAGCTCCAGATATGGGACACGGCTGGCCACGAGAGGTTTCGAACGATCACGCAGAGCTACTATCGCTCAGCTAATGGGGTCCTACTAGGTAAATCTCATTGACATCCCTATACAGTATGATTCTCCGCTTTGTCATTATAATATTATCATGTCTTACAGTGTACGACATTACAAAACGTGCTACTTTCTTAAATCTACAGAGATGGGTCGAAGAAGTACGTCGGTATACTTCGTCTAATGTCTTGCTCGTGTTGATTGGTAAGTTGTTATACTGAAACTGTTATTTATAGTGAGTATTAAGGCTCTGTCAAACAAAACACATTATAATGCGCATTAAAACGGTAAATGGTCCTATTGCGTGCTTTCACGCACGTGAATAACGCGGCAATGTAACAAATTACAAAATCACACGACGTGAAAACAATGCTTTCTTCTGTTTGACAGAGCCATTACACTAATGTGGTGTTCCTTCATTTCATTGTAAATAATTTATCGCATTAAAATTTACCAAACAATATTTATTTATTGCAATTTACAGTATAGTGCAGTGCAGTTGCTATTTTATTATTAATAAGTATAAAATGCATAGATAGGTAATTAATAAAACATAATAATAATAGGTAATCCAAAATTAAACCTACAAACTTCCAATAGTATATTAGATATATATATTTTACACTTTAAATGTTCTAAGATTGCAATATTGAAAATTCTTTGTAATCAATCAATGCGTATCGCTTTTAAGTTATCAAAATAGTATGACCCACCCTGTAACAGCTAAAATTTCACTTACATAGTTACATATTCAATCTATGTAGGTAACAAATGCGACCTGGAGGAGAACCGCCAGGTGGAGTTATCTGAAGCAGATGCAATGTGCGAATACTTTCCTGAACTATTGTCTGTGCTAGAAACGTCAGCTAAGGAAAATAAAAACATTGAAGAAGCATTTGTCACAATTGCTTCTGAACTTAAGGTGAGTGTTAGAATTTTATTGTTAGTCAACAGTCCATTCAATAAGAATTTTTACAGAGACGTCATGACCAAAGTGCTCATATTGAAGATGAACCCAATCCTGTCATCAACTTGAGTGAAGGCGAGAATGTTCAAAAATGTAAAGGCTGTACGTTGTTATAAACTAACATTGCAACACGGTACAGTAGAACAAATCAATATTTAATCATTATTATTCTAAAACCCGATGACGAACTTGTATAATTAATTAATTATGCGTTCATAATCTTATGGTAACATACTTGTTTAATGTGAAACATTTAAAGTTTTATTTAGATTGTATTTAAAAATAAAAATTTATGAGGATAGGGACAGATCATCCCAGAATTTATGTACACGTTTATGATCCGCGTTAATACTGTATTTAATTTTATCTTTCTTAACTTGCAATAATTATTCATGTACTTGAACTTCACTTTGTTAATCATTCAATCATGTACTGTAATATAATATTAAATAAGATTCTCGAATAGTTTTATGGGGAACCATGGTCATAAGTGTTTTCTTTTTCAAGTATCTCGCAAGGTCCACACGTATATCTAACATTGAAATTATTTTTATCAGTAGACAATATAATATTGTATCAATGATGGTTTTTATTTTGTTAGCCGCTATCGTAATTTAGGACATTATGTTCGTGATATTATTCATACAACATTTATTTAACCCGTTTCGATGTTCTGTAAATAGATATACGTCCATATCGAGAATTTTAGTAATTATATTTTTTCTTCTGTTTAATTATATCATTTGCGAGTGATGATTTTAATTGATTTTATTTAATATAATACATAATATGGTTTTTTTTCTTCTTAAATTTAGATAAATATGTCTATATGATAATTGATTATATA